CTACACTGGTGGGGACTTAAACCTGAATACACACCAACTCATGGGTACTTGTGTCACGGTGGGGTCCTAAATTGAGGTCCCCACGGATACAAAAGCTTATAAATCATACAGAGCGAGTTTTTTTGAGATTGTAAAAATGCAGAAAGTTTCCTGTAAGGGGTAGGTTTAGGGGTAGGGTTGGTGTAGGGCAATAGCACATACAGTTTGTACAGTATAAAAACCGTTACACCTATGGAATGTCCCCACAATTCACAAAAACAAACATGTGTGTATGTATGTGTGTGTGTGTGTGTGAGAGAGAGAGAGAGAGTTGCGTGTTTACAAAATATCTTGCAGTTCCGCTGCCTGCCATCAGGGGGCTTCAGAAACCACACTTGTGTTATTTGTGTTTATATTCTGAGCAAATACCAGGTTAATTTGGGCATTTAATAGAAAACTGTGTTTTTGTACTACGGTAACAGCATGGAGTACTACATAAGTAGCATGAATATTAAATACTATTATATCTGGTCTCCTCTCATGTTGCAATCAGTATAATGTCTGGATTGCTAAGATTTTATATTGTATGTGAACTATAAGTGGATTTATTTATATACACTTACACTATGGTTCAAATCTTTGGGGTTACAATGTTTTTGAGTCTCTTCTGCTCACCGAGGCTGCATTTATTTGATCATAAAATACTGTAAAATTGTGAAATATTATTAGAATGTAAAACAGCTGTTTTCTATGTGAGTATCTGTTAAACCGTAATTTATTTCTGTGATGCGCAGCTGTATTTTCAGCATCATTACTCCAGTCTTCAGTGTCACATGATCTTCAGAAATCATTCTAATATGCTGATTTGCTGCTCAAGAAACATTTCTGATTATTATCAATTTTGAGAACAGTTGTGCTGCACAATATTTTTATAGAAAGTTCAAAAGAACAGCATAAATGTCTTTTCTGTCACTTTGATCACATTTCTCACCTGTAAGATGTTTTTGGCATTAAAAGCTTCTCGATCTTTAGCGTTGGGTCTCGCTGAAGCTCCTTTATCCTCCGCTGAGAGAAACACAGGTCAGGTTAGAGTCTGTATTTCAGACGTAATGAGATGTGATGATCATGTTGTGGTCTGAATAACGTTACTCAGCTACTAAATTGAAAACAGCACAGTGACTGGCTGATGTCAGCATGAACACGGTCAGAACTGTTGACAGTCAAACAGCCATGAACACAAACACAGAGCAGCTGAATGAGAGCTTTGTGTTCGTGAGAAGACGACGTTCACGGCGATGAAAAACATTCTGACAAACAAGCTCCTGATAAACACGCTGCTGGGCTGTTTACCTCATTCCTGACAATCCGTCCCGTAGGTTTAAGTTTTATGTTTAAACAAGTTACAGAAGTACAAAAATTACTAAAACTAAATGCGAAATAAAGCCAAATAGATGCATTTTAAAAAATGAATAAAAATTAAAAAACATAAATTACTCGTATTTAAAATCAAAACTATTAAAATTAATTTTTGTTAAATAAATGTAAAACAGATATCAGATATTCGTATTTTATTTTATATTTACATTTTTCTATGCAATATTTATATTTTATTAGTTTTAATTTTACTAGTTTTGTTAGGTCGTTTTGTCATTTTTATTCGTTTTTTATATTTAGCTTTAATTTTATTACAGTTTTAGTTCTAGTAATTTTTGTACTTTTTTAATTTAAATTAGTTGCCAAGGCAACATTTTTTATTTTTGTTTTACATTTACATTTTTCCATCTAATATTTAAATTCTATTTCAGATTTAATTAACAAAAATTATTTCTAATAGTTTTAGTTTTACCTATTTTGTTATGTGCTTTTGTCTATTTGTTTTTAATTATTTCTATTTAGCTTTAATTTTATTTTAGTTTTAGGAATTTTTGAACTTCAACTTATTTTATTTCAGTTAGTTGCCAAGGCAACATTTCAAATTTTTGTTTTACATTTAAGTACATCAATACATTTACATCAATAGGAGCATTTATAAAAAACTAACAAAGATGATACAAGCACATAAAGTCATCCTGACAAACAAACTCCTGATAAACATGCTGTCGGTCTGTTTATGTCATTCCTGACAGTCTGTTCGGTTAGTTTGGCATCTGCTTGATTCAGTAATTGTGATCATGTTCGTTATGAGTGACGTGTTCACAGCAGGATTAAAGGAGGTCTTATTTGAAACTGATCAGGGATCAGTGATGGTGACTGAGGGCTGTTGTTGTTGGCCGTCTCACCTGACGGATCTTTCCGGAACAGTGTGTTCATGATGGTGCCATGAATCTTCACATAGACTTGCATTGTTTTTCTATCAGATTAATGGATTTTTCTTTCTCCTAAACAAACATCAAGGTTTATTACAGTTAACTAAAACTAAAAACTAGTAATATGTATGTATATGTATATGTATATGTATATATATGTATATAAAACATTTGTTACTTGTAAAAATAAGTTTTGGTTGAAGTGTAAAAAAAAACTGAAAATTAATACATTTTAAATATTTTAACCTCGTTAATTAAAATAAGTCTGTATTTTAAATCTGTAAATTAAAACAAATACAAATATTAGATGAAAAACTTAATCGTACAACAAAAATTATAAATTCTGCCTTGGCAATTAACTGAAAAAAAAAAAAAGATTAAGTACAAAAATGACTAAAACTAAAACGGAAATAAAATAAAAGATAAATAGATTTTTTTTTAAATGCCAAAAGCATATAACAAATACTAATACTTAAACTACAATTAAAAATATTAATAATTTGTTAATTAAAATAAAATGTAAATATGCAACTTTTATTTGTTTTAGCTTTACGTTTTCATCTAATATTTCAATTTTATTTATTTCATTTCATTAATGAAAATTATTTTAATCATTTTAATTTTAGTTTAAGTATTAGTAATTGTATGTGCTTTTGTAATTTTTATTAGGTTTTTTTTTTGTTTGTAATTTTGTAAATTTATATATAGCTTTAATTAATTTATATTTCAGTTTTAGTTTTTGTAATTTTAGTACTTAAACTTTTATTTCGGTAACATTTCTGGTTTCCGTTAGTTTTTTTTAGTTGTGTTTTTAGGTTTACGTTATATTTTATTTTATTGCAGCTATAGGTAAATTAACACAGCTATAGGTCAATTAACAAATTATTTTTAATATTTTTATTTACCAAT